CAGGTGACAGCAATAGGAAGATCCACAAACAGAGGAAGCCGACATTATATGCAAATTGTGAGATTGACTGTAAGAGATGAGCATGATTCTATCTGTTTTCATCCTCAGACCCTCCCTATTGATCAGTGAGCTCAGCCATTATATTAAAGAACCAGTGTGGAGGCTCAGAAGATAGGAAGAGACAGGGACAACTTTACTTTAAGAGCTCTTTCACACAATATTGATCTGTTGCAATGTACTAATATACAGTATTTTTTGTTGCATTAAGAAAGCCCATTCATTTAAAAAAGGCTGCCAATGCTGAGCAATGAATTACTTTTTTTTTATTGCAGTGCACCAAAATGCATGGCATGCACGTCATGCAGAGCTGCAGTGTCCATGAGTAGTTGTGCATTAGAAACCACTTTAAATGAATGTCAGAACAACAAAAAAAGTGATGTGTGTTACTGCACATTGCATATTGCAACATATAAGTGTGAAGCCAGGCAGGAAAATATTAAATTGTCATTTAAAGTGGTATTAAAAGTAGAAAAATAAAAAAATAACAAAGATGTCATACTTACCTGCTCTGTGCAGTGGTTGTGCACAGCGCAGCCCCAATCCTCTTCTTTTTGGGTACCGTGCCGGAGCTCCTGGCTCCTGCCCCTTGACCAGTTCCCCCAATAGCAAGCCCCTTGCCATGGATGCACTGATGCATGCTCGCTCCCAAACCCTGCTCTATGTGTCCATAAAGGCTTGGACCTGCCCCCCCACCTACCTCCTCATAGGTTCACTGGCTGTGATTGACAGCAGTGGGAGCCAAGGAATCAAGGAGGAGAGGGAGTTATAGGAGAACTGAGGCTCCCGTGCACATCGCTGGATCAAGAGGGGGCTCAGATAAGTATGGGGGGGCTGTGGGGATAGCAGTACACAGAAGTTTTTTTTACCTTCAGCCTTTACAATCACTTTACCTTGGGTAGCCTATAAGTTTGTATATAGCAAATGTATTGGCTCTTTATTACAAAAAAGTGGACTTTGGGCTTCCAAATAAAAGATCCTCCTGTTTCAATGGGCTTGTTTCAATGGCATCAGTTTGATATCAGTTTGAGATTCTTCTGATATCATTGTTGGCAATATTTGACCTGCAGTTGACCTCATTGAGACCCACAAGCAACCTGCTTCCAATGTGCATAAAAAGTCCTATTGATCCCAATAGAAATCTTTTTACATTGTTACATAATTAGGTTGAAAAAACACATTGGCTAACCAACAGAAAAACAAACAAAAAAAAAAGATAGAAACCCCCCATATACACAATCCTTTACCCACAGTTAATTGAGCGGAAAAAAAAAAATGCATGATCCAATTCACTCCACTTTGGTTTGAGACTACCAGATCCAGCAGAGCGTCATTTCTATTCGGGCCTTTATGAACTGTACCATAAAATTGTCTTGTAATAGATTTGGAAATTTCTACCCTGCTACCGTTCCTGCATTGCCATTACTCAAGTTAATTTCAGGGTAATTAAAATCCCCCATTATTTTCACTGTTCCAGCCCTTGCAACTCTTTATCTGTGCAAGGAGTCTCTACCTCCTCATTAACACTGGGTGGCCTATAACAAATTCCAATAATTAAATTTGAAAATCCAACACCCTTATGCAACTCCACCAATAATGTTTGAGCACCATCACACTCTTGATCAACTAGGTCCTCTTTCATATGTTCTTTGAGATCACTTATCACATGAAGACAGACACCACCGCCTTTTATTTTACCTTGTCTTGTCGCAAGAGAGCATAGCAAGGAATATTAATAGCCCAGTAATGCAAAGAATGAAACCAATATTCCATTTATACCAAATAAATCATAGTTATCCTTATGTACCAAGCTTCCAACTCTCCTATTTTTCTAGGCAGACTTCCAGCATTGGTAAGCAAACACTTTAATTTATTGTCACGTTTTGCACTTTTGTTTTGCATGTCTTATTTAGTAGTAAAAATGGTGCTATAATTGTCAAACATTGCTTGTAACATGGGAAATTTCTAATCGCCTGCCATAACACTCCATCCTCCCTCATTCCACCCTTCAACAATGTTGCCACCACATCAAAGGAGTGGCAATCTACAATATATTACAATTGCTTTTGGGTTTAAATTTTATTTAACTTTCCCCTGTTCCATTTATTTAAGAAAGCATTCTATTGGAGTAACAAGTGCCTGTTTCCCTTGCAGTCAGATGTAGTCCCAGACTTATTTGTGCCTGAAGAGGACAATAGCTTGTATTTCACATACTCTGGACCACCAAATGTCCTGGAAGTTAAGGATTTGAGCTACCAGGTAAGGGATGTGGGGAAACAAGTAATGTAATGCCCGGGGGCGGACTGACCATTTGCAAACTTGGGCACTACCCGAGGGCCCGGGGTCAGTAGGGGGCCTCATGAGATGCCCCTGGTACCTTTTTCATAGGCTTTTTTGAGTTTGGGCAAGGACACAGGGGCCCCATGATCCCCTATTGCCCGGGGGCCCCATGAGCTGTCAGTCAGCCCCTGGTTCAAACCTAGGGTTGAACAAAATTTTGACTGTTCAGGCATTCTGAATAATTTTCGGAAACTTTCAGAGGCTGCAGGAGGAAAATGGAGGGGATCGGTTCTTTTACATGCCATCCTGCAGTCCCTCCTATCCACCATCTGCTGCCCCTGGGCCCTTGTGCACTCTCCTGGCCCTCTTCATCCCTGGAAGCTCCACCAGGCCCCCCCCCCCTTCTGCGGTCCGCAGCGGGGGATGCTGTCCTGATGGAGAGCGGAGAAGGGGCCTGTAAATGTGTAATGAGTTGTCAGTCCACCCTTGGTAATGCCATATCAGACACTGTGAACCTGATATAAGAGGGGCGTCTCAAAAGTTCACGGCTTGTGCCATTTTCGGCTCTGAACATCTGAAAGAGTGGCTTGGTGTGGTAATAAAGTTTCCTTTCCGCGTGGTTACTCCTTCGGTGTTGGGCAATGGATTTTTGGGACATCCCTTGTATAAAGCACAGGAGCACTGCTTTACATTTTAAATATCTGCACTTTTTGATAATTAACATGTTCGGTTAACTGAAAAAAAAATCTCTAACATGTATAAAATATTTTTTCAAGGTTAATTTAAGTGCTCAGATTCCATGGTATGAAAAGCTTGCTGAGTTTAAAATGCCTTGGGAATGGAACAAAGGATCCCAAAGTGCAGCAATGACAAACCTCAATGTGAGAGTCAGTAGTGGACAAATGTTAGCGGTCATTGGGAATTCAGGTATGAGGTTATTTGTAGTTATTTTTAAATGTAGGATATGTCTTGGTTTGGTCCTTTTATTCTTGTCTGCCTTCCTTTTGTCTATCCTTCCCCCACCATTTCCATCATTTATTAATTCCAACATTTGGCATTAATTTAAATGTAACTTGCTGCATTTTGGCAAGGGGAAGAGATACAATGACAGATTTACTAGAATTGGAGCACACAATCTGGTGCAACTCTGCATAGAAACCGATCAACGTTCAGGATTGATTGCCAAAGTTTAATTGAACAAGCTGAAATGAGAAGCTGATTGTCTACCATGCACAGCTACACCCGATTCCGAGTGCTCCAGTTTTAGTTCATCTATCCCAGGGGTGTCAAACTGGTGGCCCTCCAGCTGTTGCAAAACTACAAGTACCATCATGCTCTGCCTTTGGGAGTCATGCTTGTAACTGTCAATCTTGCAATGCCTCATGGGACTTGTAGTTTGGCAACAGCTGGAGGGCCGCCAGTTTGACACCCGTGATCTACCCCATTAGGTCTGTAAATGTTCCATAGTAGTCCGGAAATATATGCAGACAGCTTTCATTATTAAATGATTTATATATTTATATATTTATTCTCACATTTTACTTGAATTTATGTTATTTTTATGTAAAAATTTAATGTATTGTTAGATTTATTTATTTTTCACTTTAAATATTTTTAATATTCTAATCAATTATACACAAATGTGGAATACTGGACATCAAACAGACAAATAGTAACTAACTTGACACAGGAAAAAACTTAATACAGGTGGTTAACATAAAATAACATTATACTTACCTGCTCTGTGCAATGGTACTGCACAGAGCATCCCCAAACCTCCTCCTCCTCCTGTCCTTGCTCTGGGCTCCTCCTCTTCGGTCTGCCCCCCTAGCAAGCTTCTTGCTATGGAGACAGACATGGGCTCGCCCCCAAGCAGGGCTCTGTGTGTCCATAGACACACACACAGCACAGCACAATCCCACCATCCCCCTCACAGAATTTGATTGACACAGCAGGAGATGCTGCTACCAGCTACAGGAATGTCTACTGCTGCCAGTGGCAAAGCCCATGAGACCAGGAAGAGCAGTGGATTGAAAGAAGACTCAGGTAAGTAATAGGAAGATGGAGAGGGAAAAAGACAGTTCAAGGTTTTTTTTTTCCTTCAAGAGACTGCCATTCAGATTTTGTTGGTTGAAGTCCCCATTTGTATGATTTTGGTCAGTTTTTATTATTTCTGGAGAATAAGTTTTATCATTTAGTGTTTCTTTAATCTAACTTTCATCCCAGAGAGAGATACTGAGTGTGTCTTCCAGTTATTTGCTACAGTTTGTTTTGATGCAACTGAGACAAAGAGAATTGGTTTTTGTGAATCCTTTTTTTTTTTTTTTTTTTGGGTTTAGGGTGTGGAAGGACGACTCTTTTAGACATCATCACATGTAAGGACGAAGGTGGGAAGATAAAATCAGGACAAATCCTTATTAATGGGAAAATAAGCACAAAGCATTTGGTGAAGAAGTGCGTAGCTCACGTCCGTCAGAATGATCAATTGTTGCCCCACCTCACTGTCCGAGAAACACTGTCATTTATTGCCAAACTCCGCCTCCCTAAATCCTTCTCAGACCAGCAGCGGAAAAAGCAGGTGAGCAGCTAATTTATGTGAATACAATCCTTTAAAGTGTTACTAAACCCACAACAGTAAATTACTCACTATGAAACCTAAGGGGTTAATCCGCTGCATTGTGTAAAAAGGCTGTTTGACCCTGACTTCTCTGATTCCTTCCCTTCTTCCAGTGTCCTCCTCTTATCTTCTGGTAAGACATATCGTGTGGAGTCACTCTGCACATGCGCAGTTTGGTGTGTATTGCTAGAGAGGGTTTTTTTTTTTGGGAGAGTGCATGTGATCAGCACAGGACCAATCAGCACTGTCCAAACAGAGATCAGGGATTTTGCATCCTCCTAGAACAGAATGAAAACTCCTCCTACAAGCTTTAACATTTGCTCTGCTGGACACTGATAGAAGTCACAAGACTGATCTACTGGTACTGCTGATGAGAAAATGTATTTAGCAGTTTATGTATAAAAAAGTGCAGCGCTAAAGACACACAGTATATGTATCAAGTGAAACAATCAAGTGCAACATATAAATATATATAACACGTGCACCTATATAAAAAACAGGAAATCAGCAGGAAAATGAAGTCCATGAATAGATGTGATAATACGTGCACTAAAGTGCAATAAAATTAATCAATAATAATGTTCATGAATAGATGTGATAATACATGCACTAAAGTGCAATAAAATTAATCAATAATAATGTTCGCGGTTGCACATTATTAGATATGTGCAATAATGTCATCAAAAGTCCATGAAAAACTGCATTCAAAATAATGTCCTTATATTAATAAAGTGCAATAATGCACTTTGTGCTGATATTTTCTATTCATTCTATTCTATTTTATATATTTATTTAATTTTTTAATTTATAAGTAAAAATGTTTTTTTCCTGCATTATTAAGGTATCATACGTAATATAATATTATGCATATTTGGTATCATATAATATTTGGGCTGATCTTTGGCCGCCTGTTTTGGTAATTTACGATATTCATTAGTATGTCAAGCTGGTATCATGTGTTATCAGTATGACACATAATCTCTATTTATGTATTTATTAGGCAGTATTTATTCTGTATACTATCATGCATTACATTTGCTCTGATAATTTTTTATACCTTTACATTATTTGTATTTTCCAATTATGTATATGTTGTTTATTAACCATTTTAATAGTCCGCAATATATCATATTATGTTCACTTTTTGATATATTAACGACAATTTTGACTATTTGTTTTATCGTTTTACTGTTTGATATTCATTGGCACTTTTTCCAAAAACATTTTTTTCTAATATTATCTCCGTTCAGAATAGTGTTTTTTTTTTTTTTAATACTCCAATGCAGTAGTTTTTACTACCCTTTCGTGATTTTACTCTATTTTATATTTTATTCCATTTCATTCTGTCTAGTCCCCCGTTTTTTGACCCATTTTTCGTAAGAGATATTAGTATTGCTGCCTCTCCTTATAATATTGTAGCCATGTCCCTTATATTTCCATAATAAAGGCTGCTGTTAGATATCTTGATGATAGCTTGCCGTTTACTCTTAGTTTAACTTCATAACAATTAGCTTTTGATGTTTGTCACTTGGAAACTGGCTGCCGACATCACTTGACCAGTCTCTGATAAAATGGCCGTCGACATCACCTGACCAATAACACTCCAAGAAAATGGCGCCGTCGGATTCATTTCGTGCCTTGCGGGCTATTTAAATGGGACCCGTGCATGAAGTTGGCAATGGGCGTACCCCTGAGGATGTGCATGCGCACGAAGGATGTTGCATGGGGGCCGCACGAAACACGTCGAAGGGAGCCTATATTGCTGATGTCATGCCGCCACTGCCAAAGGACGGAGTGGGTGCCATTTTGGTACCTGTCACTTTTACCTTTATCACTCCCAGTGGATTTTATACTTTGCTTTGTGATTATAATAAATTACTACACTATATATGAATTTCTGGCTCTTGTGGTTGAGCTATCTTTCCTAGGACAAGGGTTCCTCCTTCCACCTATGCCTTGGTGGAGCAGTATGATTAACCCCCTGGCTGCCTTTTCACCTCCAGATGTGATATACCACATGCCTGTTATCATATACCTTCTGGTGAGTGTATATCCGTCCGAGGTGGTCCCCTGTGTGATTTATCGCACGTTCACATCCTGCACTTTGCATTATTGCACTTTATTAATATAAGGACATTATTTGAATGCAGTTGTTTGATGGACTTTTTGATTACATTATTGCACATATCTAATAAGTGCAACCGCGAACATTATTATTGAATAATTTTATTGCACTTTAGTGCACGTATTATCACATCTATTCATGGACATTTTTCTGTTTTTTATATATGTGCAAGTTTTTTATATATATTTATATGTTGCACTTGATTGTTTCACTTGATACATATACTGTGTGTCTTTAGTGCTGCACTTTTTTATACATATAATTGTGGGGATTGTTACCCATACCTTGTGTGCTAGCTGCTTTATTACTGTCACTAGCGCGCTCACCTGTATACTGTATATATATTTAGCAGTTAATATTTACTAAAAATAATTGCGCTTCCGTGTTTTGTGTACTGTGGGAGACCAGATATAGTGAATGCAGTGTCCTGGGAGACCAGATATAGTGAATGCAGAGTCCTGGGAGACCAGATATAGTGAATGCAGGGTCCTGGGAGACCAGATATAGTGAATGCAGGGTCCGGGGAGACTAGATATAGTGAATGCAGGGTCCGGGGAGACCGGATATAGTGAATGCAGGGTCCGGGGAGACCGGATATAGTGAATGCAGGGTCCGGGGGAGACCGGATATAGTGAATGCAGGGTCCGGGGAGACCAGATATAGTGACTGCAGGGTCTGGGGAGACCAGATATAGTGAATGCAGGGTCCTGGGAGACCAGATATAGTGAATGCAGGGTCCGGGGAGACCAGAGATAGTGACTGCAGGGTCGGGGGAGACCAGATATAGTGACTGCAAGGTCCGGGGACACCAGATATAGTGAATGCAGGGTCGGGGGGGGGGGGGGGGACCAGATATAGTGAATGCAGAATCCCGGGAGACCAGATATAGTGAATGCAGGGTCCGGGGAGAGCGGATATAGTGAATGCAGGGTCCTGGGAGACCAGATATCGTGAATGCAGGGTTCGGGGAGACCAGATATAGTGAATGCAGAGTCCTGGGTTTAGCAACACTTTAGGTGTATTCAGTCTTATACATTCTGTTATATTAACTGCATTTACAGAGTAAATATTTTTTTTCTCTTAACTGTTATTTATTAGATCTGCAAAAAATTAATATATTGCAGCCCACCAGTCTATAGATGTGGTGGCTGTATTAGTTTTGTTTCAGGATTTTTACTTTTTTTATTATTCAACATGTAATATATTGCAGCTTACCAGTCCTTAGATGTGATGGCTGCATTTGTTTTATTTTTTGTTTTACTTTTTTCCCTTTATTTTCACCTGGTGCTCTGGCAAATAACATGCTTCCTGTCCTTGGGTGGCTAAACACAATCCACTGTATCTATGGAGGGAACCATGGTTGTCACCCAGGCTTCTCTCCTTATCTGGACTACAAATATGTCTTTCTCTATTCATCTCCACTACGTGGGGAGAAGGGAATTAGTAGTTTACAGAAGACAGCTTGGATGCATGTCTGTGCTCTCAGTTCATTTCACAGGAAGTGACTAGAACACAGAATTTCTGGCAAAATCAATATATATCTTCTGTACTTACTAAAAATGTTCAAATACAGCCACCACAACCAAGAACTGATAGGTAGCAATATAATAACATTTTGTTCTTAACTCTAGAGCTCAGGCCCCTGATGTTCAGCATCAACAATTTGAAACTCACGACTGGTTACAATGAAGTGATGATCCAAAAAGGGATCTTGACCATAGAGGGGAAGGACGCACCTTCGTACAGTAGGGAACACCTAGGTACAGTTAAAGTCTTGTCCTTTAATCACATAAAGCAACAGGTATCACATGCTGATGTTTCAGGATCTTGTATGATCTCTTTATCAAGGGGGTCCCAAAACATTAGCGTGTGATGCTTGTTGCTTTATGTCAATGAAAGAGAAGACTGTACCTAGACTTAGATGTTCTGGTGAAGATTATTTTTTCCTTATGATTGGTGCTATCTACCAGTTCAGTACCGCACCCTGAATAAACTGTGGGCAAGTCTATAAGGTGTACAATGTATGCAATACAACTTCAGTACTGAATGTGAGCTGAAACTGGAACTATACAGGCCTGTCCCAATTGTTTGTCCCTCCAGCATATTATCTCAGTCTGTAGCCCATTATTTTCCAGCTCTAATGAAGGGGAACCACTAAAACTGAAACACGATAGGTGATTTTAATTAACACAAATGAATTGAAAAAGTTTTGGTTTTAGGCACTCTTTAACCTAAATCCTTAAGTGCTGTTTGTGAACATTGTATGTTAATTTCTTGTAAGGTGGAAGACGTTATAGCAGAGCTCAGGTTACGGCAATGTGCAAACACTAAAGTGGGGAATGAGTACACACGAGGAGTGTCTGGAGGAGAGAGGAGAAGAGTCAGCATTGCTGTCCAACTTCTTTGGAACCCTGGTAAGAAGCCTGAAGTTAGCAATTATGTTACCAGTTATGAACCAGCTACAGCTTTAAAGTGAATCTGTTGCCAGGTTATGGGCATTCATTTACATATTGTTAACCAATTGTAAATAAGCTTCAAAATAAGTCCTCAATGACCTTTGTAGCTACAGGCACTGTGGTGCAATCCATCTTTAGAATTCACAGCCAACGCATTGAAGTCACTGTGGTTGATTTACCAAAACTACAGACACTGTAGAGCAATTCACTTTAAAAATTCACAACAAAAGCATCAAAGCCACTGTAGAGCATTCAGTCATCAAAATTCACAGCAAATCATTGAAGCCATTGTGGTTGATTTACTAAGGCAAATAGGTTGCTTACTTTGCAAATAACTTTTTCCTTAGCTTAGTGAATGTAGGAAAATTCACTTTGCAATCACAATCAAGGAAAAAAAAAAGTATTTTTGTTTGTACATGATTTCATGTACAAAGCTTTACCTCCAAATCCCCTTGCAAAGAGAAAATACACTCGCAGTGACAACAGTAAATGAGCCTTAAAACAAGCCCTCCCTGACTTTTTTTTTTAGTTCCAAGCACTGTAGAGCAATTCAGCTTCAAAATTCACAGCAGAAGCATTGAAGTCATCGTGGCTGATTTACAAAAAAAGGCAAATAGGCTCTTCACTTTTACATTGAATTTTCACTTTGCAAGGGCCTTTTCCCCTACCTTATTGAATGTGGAGAAAATTCACTTTGTAGAGAATACCGTCACATGCATGGAAAATACAACAACAGTATTTTGCTACATGATTGGATGATGGAAGTCAGCAGAGCCTTACCTCCCTCAGTAAGTTAAGGGGAAATTCCCTTGTAAAGTGAAATTTCATTTACAGTTAACAGCCTATTTGCCTTTTGTAAATCAACCCAAATGTCTCATAATTGGATTGTAAAAAGACTGTATGCTAAGGATTGTCAATATTCTCACATCTCAAAATCCTCAAACCCCAACCACTTTCAGTTAATTTCTCTTTTTTCTTGCAGGCATCTTGATTCTTGATGAGCCTACCTCTGGCTTGGACAGTTTCACAGCCCACAATCTTGTGATAACGTTGTCCAGGCTCGCCAGGGGAAACCGTTTGGTATTATTGTCAATCCATCAGCCCCGCTCTGATATATTCCAACTTTTTGACTTGGTTCTCCTACTATCGTCAGGAGCCACAATCTATTCTGGAACAGCAAAAGACATGGTGCTGTATTTCACTTCTATAGGCTATCCATGCCCAAGATACAGCAACCCTGCCGATTTCTATGGTAAGTCAATTTAAAATCTGCAACAATCATCTTTGGCTGCTAGAATACAGATGATTTATACTACAGTACATGCCCCCCATTTATTAGGGGTTTCAGAGATTTGGAATTTTAAAGAGATTTCCACTCTCTTGACTCTGCCATTTGGGGAGGAAGGGAAACATCTCACCAATGGAGACAAAAACTGCAGAAAACAACTTGAATGAAAAAGGCTAGAATCAATTTAATTTTCTTGGCTTTCTATGGCCGTGTCTGGAAAAGATCTAACTTCTTATCCAGATGATACCACCTATATCAGGATGGGACAGGGTGTCAGCAGGAGAAATCTTTTGGACAGGGACACCTGTCCAAATTGCATAGCAATATAGGCCTAAAACTGATTTTGCCTCTTCTCCAAGCTACTTAGGTGAATTAAAGGTGATCAAAGGTTATTAAGAGATTTTATTGCCCTACAAGTCTGAAAAATGCTGTAGAGTCAACTGGGTAGGTGAAATGGGATTTAAATGGCTCCATAGGACTAGAGGAAATCCTTTCAACTACCCTACACCTGTTCTTGTGCCACAAATGGTCCCTGATTAACCTCATTATTGTATTTTTTTAATTAGACCACAATAAAAAGGTCAAATAGAAAAAAGGGGAAAAATCTCAAATACAAGAAAAAAACACTACATAGAATAAACTAACCTGCCCTAATTGCTCCTTAAAATCTCACACCCTCTAAACAAAGTAAAAAAAGACGAGCAAATTTGCAATTGAGGGTCGATTTTTAACTGAACTTTTGTTTGAATAGAGTGAAAATTCCTTTGCAAATGAAATAGCCTTCTTGCCTTTAGAGAATCAACCCCTTTGAGTATATAAGTGTTTCCCCAACTCCTTGTGTACAATGATCTCCCCCTTACTCTTTATTAGTTGATCTCACCAGCATTGACCAGCGATCCAGAGATCAGGAGATGGAATGCTTGGAGAGAACCAGATCTCTGGCTGATATTTTCCAACAAAAAGTGAAAGATTTTGATGATTTTCTATGGAAAGCCCAAGATGAAAACAGAGAACAAACCTTCAGTGAGACCCGGTATGTTTGTGCGACGCTGTAGCATTTCTAGCCTCCAGTTGCAGGCTTATTGCGTTGCATTAACTGTCCCCCTGTGTTTTGGCTGCTGTATATGATAGTGCTAAAGTGGCTTTAGCTCACACCAGTTAAATGTCTATACCAAGTTCATAGTTCTTAGGTACGGTCTATATCAGTGATGCCTGAACCTATGGCACGCGTGCCAGAGCTGGCACATAGCCATCTCCTGGGCACGCCAGGTAATTTAAGTTCTTGCAGATGAGCGCACACAGACCACGTACACTGACACGGCCATCCAGATCTCGTCCACATGGAGCCCCATCAAACTACATTTCCCACATGTCTCTGGGGCCCGGGAGTGGGTGTGGACGAGAGGAAACGGCTGAATGCGGATCTGGCAATCAGGGGTGATGTAGCTCTGGGGATGGGCGTGGAAGAGAGGAAGAGGCTCCCATAGGTCTGCTCTGGGGGCCAGGGGCGACGTGTTCAGCGTGGATGGGACCTGAGCTGCAGGGTTGGAAGCCACACCGAATGACTGCCAGAGGTGAGATTAACTGCTTGCCAACCATGCTATAGCAAAAAAGATGGCATTACAGCGTGGTTGTCTGATACTGGGAGGGCGTCCCAGAATTGCGAACCCAGTGGCACACACCCTGTGCTGCCGGTGATCACAGTGCCGTCTGTCAGTGCCTCCAGTTGGTGCTATCAGTCAGTGCCGCTTATCAGTGCCCATCATTGCTGCATATCAGTGCATCATCAGTGCCTCCTCATCAATGCCCACCAGTGCCGCCTCATCAATGCCCATCAGTGCTACCTATCAGTGCAGCCTCACCAATGCACATCAAAGAAGAAATATTACCTGTTTGCAAAATTTTATAATAGAAGCAAAGAAAACCTTTTATGTTTTTAATTTTTTGCTCTCCTTTTTTCATTTATAATGCAAAATTACACCCAGTGGTGATTAAATACACCAAAAAAAAGCTCTATTTGTGTGAAAAAATTGAGTGTTGTGTGACCGCACAATTGTCATTGTCAAGTGCAACAGCACTGAAAGCTGAAAATTGGTCTGGGCAGGAAGGGGATAGAAGTGCCCGGTAGGCAAGTGGTTTAATTGCAGTGTTGGCACTTTGAAATAAAAAAAGTTGGTTTTGTGTTGCAGTTTTGGGCACTCGGGCTCAAAAAAGGTTCGCCATCACTGGTCTATATCATCCATCACTGGT